CAATGCCACCAGCCTCCAGATCCAAAACGGTCCAGTTACGCTCCGCAGGAAGAGTAGCGCGGCTGATGTACACGATGGGTCTCACCGAGCCATCGAGCTGTTCTTGTTCCAAGGAGGCGCCAAAACCGTCGATACACGCTTCGGAACACAAACGAAGAGGACGGTTGTTGTCCTCGATTGCTGCCCAATCCGGGAAGACCAAAATCGGGGGGCGAGAGAGTTCGCTTAACAACGTTTTGACAACCTTGACCATGCCCGGGGTGTACTTGAAGGGGACGCCTTGTTTGAGAAGAGAGTTGAGAGGCCGCACCTTGGTGGCGAGATTCTTAAGGAATTTCCGGTAGTAACTGAGTCCACCGAGAAGGCTCCAAAGCTGCTTAACATTCGTCGGCGGCGGCATGTGCGTGAGCGCCCTAACCTTGACGCCATCAGGGCTAACACCTGCCGGAGACATGGTGTGACCGAGAAAGTTGGCGTGCGTGGCACCGATACGAGCCTTCCCTGGAGACAGTTTGAGGTTGTAGTGTCGCAGTCGTTTGAAGAACTGGATCAAGTTCAGCACGTGTCCCAGAGGTTCCTCATCGAAACAGATGACATCGTCCAGATAAGCAAGCACACGCTCCAGACCGTGCACCACGCTGTTGATGACCTTGACGAACCAAGACGGACTTGCGTTGGCGCCCTGCGGCATCCGAAGCCATTCGAACAACTGCGTGGCAGCGCAAAAGGCGGTGAGCGGGACAGTGTCTTCATCACAAACGAACTGGTGGAAAGCCGAGTTGAGGTCGAAGATGGAGAACACTTTCGCGGTGTACAGAGAATCCAAGATACCGTCCACTCGAGGGAGAGATTGTCCATCCAAATCCACCAGAGCGTTGAGACGTTTGTAGTTGACGGTGATGCGAACAGATCCGTCCTTCTTGGGTATGACAACTAAAGGAGAAGCCCACGGCGATGTGGAATGTTGAATGAGCCCCGCCGCCAAGTACTGGTCCAAAACGGCATCCACTTTCTTTTGCATCAACGGGTTGATATGATACGGGCGTGATGCAACGGGCTACGTCCCTGCTGGGACAGAAAGCGTGAACGGCATGATGGTGCAGGAACCAAAATCGGATTTCGAAGTAGAGAACACGTCAGAATACTCCACAAGGGCGTCGGCCAAACGATCAATAGCCTCCGGTGTCCATCCCGGATTGTGTAGATCGAAAGCGATGTCGTGCATATTTTCGGGCAGCCTAGCCCACAAGCGCATGAAACTGGAGCGCTGTGCCTCAGAGAAGCGGTCAAGTAGTTCTTGTGGAGGCGGCTTTGCTTCGGAGGAGGCGGGGCGGANTCTAGATGTGTATAAGAGACAGGAGTAGTTCTTGTGGAGGCGGCTTCGGAGGAGGCGGGGCGGAGGCTGGGTCCGGAGAGCGGTGAGTCCCGGACTTGGGGCCAACGGCGTTGACCCGAGGTGGTGATGTAGATGTTGTGGGGCCGGTAGGAATCGAAGATGGTGCCGCCTTCAGGGTTTCCACCGGTACTCGTAGTAGCGGCGCGGCAGACACTCCAATAACGTCTCCCGGCTCGAGCTCGGCACAACCTGCAAGGGAAATACGCTAGAGACCATTGGAAACGAACGCATCTGGAGACGAAAGCGCACCCACTTCGGGTTTGAACAACACCAGATACTCTCCAATCAGCGCAGGCACGCCAGAAGAACGAACGAGGTCCACCTCAACGAGTGCAGGCTCCGGCCCCAAAGAAATTCCCGAGCTCCCTGCATATTTAAGGTGGAACGAGGAAGGAGGAGCGTCGTCGTGTNGAACGAACGAGGTCCACCTCAACGAGTGCAGGCTCCGGCCCCAAGGAAATTCCCGAGCTCCCTGCATATTTAAGGTGAAACGAGGAGGTAGGAGTGTCGTCGTGTGTAGCGTAAACGCAAGCGCCAGCTGTAAAACGCGGAGAGAGCGTGAGCTCGCCCATGACCCGGCCGTCCGGTCCAGGGTGAGGAAGGGTGGTGAACACGCGAGAGTTGAAGCGCATACAGCTATCACGACCCAGAAGCACGGCGTGCCCCATGGCGGCGTCTGGAACAACACAGGCCCAGACCGCCAAGGGAGCGGTAGTTCTATCTCCACACAGAAAATTAAGGGTGAGACGAATCAACCGGGTGGTCACAAGGGCGGGTCCATCACCAAACCCGCCCCGACGACGAGAGGGCAAAACACGGACGCTGCCAGCTGTCAGGGCTCCGGCAGCTATCATGGCGGTGACCACGGAGTCGGAAACGAAGGATGTAGGAGACCCAGATTCCAGAAGCGCCACTCGCGCGAGTTGAGAAGTGGCTATAGGTCCTCCATGCAGCAGGACCCGGGTGGTGTATGAGCCCGAGTCCAACAGGAGCGTGCCGCCGACCAGATCGGGCCCATTTTCGAGAAGAGGAGGCTGGTCTGCACAAGCGGAGGTCGATGCCACCAGATGAACGCCAGGAGCATGGTCCCCCGGAGCGTCCAAACGTAGACAAGCTGGGTCTTCGCCCGGGTCCTTCCGTAGCGAAGAACCTGTAGCAGTAGCAACCTCATGAATGCGTCGATGTCCATGGAGAGGAGGCTGCGAAATGGGGGGCGTGGGAGAATTGGAAGCGGGGAAATCTTCGCCAGACAGGGGATGATCACGCAAAAGGCGTCGAACTTCCATCAAAGCTTTTCCCAACAAGTTTTTACCGCTAGCCGCCCACTTGGATGAAACGCTAGCCTCTGGAAAGCATGCAAACATGCCGATACCCCAAACACGATCGAAGGGGCTGGCTTCTGCAAGGAGGCGGGTACCCGTCTCCAGTAGATGATGTTTCATGTCATGGTTTTGAGCAAATTTGGCGTACGACCCCGTAAGCACGATCTCTTCACGACGACGCTCTCATTCAGCATAGTCGAAAGGACGCACATTTCGATCCAAAAACTTGTGTGTCTTAGGATCTGATGCAGCCATAATTTTGTCATACGACGTCATATCTCCAAACAACTTCGCTTTTTCAGACATCATAAATTGCTCACCACATGAATAACGTACCCCCAGTACGTCAAAAGCCGAAGGAGTCCATTGCGAGAACACAGACGGAGATTTCCAGAAAAGAAGGACGTCATCCAAAGCGTACTCGCACTTGTCATCAAACGGCGGAGCCGGTGCAGGACGAAGGGGCAAAGAGCGGGCACCAGGCACAGGCGGGGTTGGACCAGGCGGACGGGTCCTCTTCTCCGACGGGGAGGACCCAGAAAGCGAGGCAGGAGCGGGCGAAGTCGCAACGCTCCGTGATCCGGAGGGCGGCCTTAGGGCGGCGGCTCCGGCGGGGTCAATGTTCGCAGAGGCCATTCGGCTATTAGAGACCCATACGTTAGGAGAATTCATTCATGCAACAGACGGATGTTTGATCATTGACGCAGGGCGCTCTTGACTACTCCCCCTTGACAAAGGAGTCCGACCCCAAAGGGTGGGATCTTTTTCCATACAGAACTTGATGTCATTGTTAGGCAAGCCGGTGGCGTTGACGAAACCACGATTACAGGATTTGAAGGAGTGGTCTTCTCCTAAGCAGTT